TGGGGTAGAGGATCATTGATTATTAGAGAAGTTAAATCCTGATGTTATAAAGGCAGCCTTAGCTTTTAGCAATATCACAGGAGAAGTAGGGGCACAATAAAGTCCTTGAGGTCTTTATTACTTTTAGTCGGAGATGATGATTGGCAGCTGTAAAGAAATACTTGGACATGTTTCTGGTATTCAAGCTAAAGATAAAAGGAGCAAGGAGACTTAACAAATCATGCCATACATAGCTAGGTAAGCAAGTATCATTAAATTTTAAATAAGAAAACAGACATCTCCTTTATAGAGTAACTTCAAATGAAATTCCTATAAACATACAAAATAGAGCAGAATTACAATTACAGATTAATATCCAATGAAAGATGTTACCCAAATATCATTTGCACTATTTTAGGGATCAATCAGAAACATATTACAGTCAGGTGATCATTTACGTAAAACAAAATATGCCAATGGCAAAACTATAAGTGGAGGTGAACTTGAAAAAATGAAATACAGAGAAGAGACAATGATTAAAGACAACTAGAATTGAAAGGCATGTAATTAGGTGTCTAATCATAATTTGACATTGCGTCTAAGATACTTATAAAACTAAACAAGAAGCAGCAATGCCTGCAAATATCAATTCTCAAGCATATATACCAGAAATAGGATATGTAAATCTGTTATCTTTTGAAACTATTCGATATTTTACACCACACATACCACATTGTTATAGGTATAAATTAACAGTTTGATGTTAGTTTGGTATGGTTGTAGTATTCTTGCCTTTGAATCTATAGATTGTTGGTTGTGTCTTCAAAGGAAATGTGACACTGCTAAATGAGATGTTGAACTGAGACTGTCTTTTCTGGAAGTTGAGAGGATGTTAAAAATGTTAAATACACCACTACAGTATTTGAAACTGGGAAGTCCCCACAAAAATCGATTCCTTTTTCAAGGCTACCAAAAAATAGATTGACTGGTTATTCATACTTGTTGCTTATGGGACCTTACTGTGTGCTAATTAATGGCCATGTTTATAAATATGACAGCAACTGCAATTCAAAGTAATGTATTGTTTGTGAAACACTTCAAAACATTTCTAAGAGATGTGATGGGGCACTAGATAAATTGCTAACCTGCCTTTCGAAACCAAAACTCTGCTAAAGAAATCTACTTATGTTGTGGTACATGAGATCTATGGCATTGAATATACACTGGCGTTTAGTACCTTATAATTTCCTGGTTTCAACCACAACTTTGTCAGCTACGTTGCCAAAGCAAACTGAAAAAAAACCAAGTACTTTTAAAGATGAAGCTAACGTTATACTTAGAAATCATAAGGGAGTATAACATGTTTTCTATTTAGTAATCTTTAGGTTTAGACTTTGTTTCTTACATTAAGGCCCTGGAAAGTGTTGTAGAAAATAGAAATCTAACAGAGGGTTCAGGTACATAATTCTTTGAAACTTGCATCACATGTAGACAGGGTAATTAAGAAGGTGTTGAGCACACTTGCCTTCATTGCTCAGACCTTTGAGTATAGGAGTTGGGATGTCATGTTAAGGTTGTACAGAAGGCTGGTGAGGCTTCTTATGGAGAACAGTATGCAGTTCTGGTCACCCTGTAATCAGAAGGATATCATTAAAGTGGAGAGGGTTCAGAGAAGATTTATCAGGATGTTGCCAGGAATGGACAGTTTTAGTTATAAAAATAGGCTGGATAGGCTGGAACTTTTCTCACTGCTGCATAGGAGGTTGAGGGGTGATCTTATAGAGGTTTATAAAGTTGTAAGGGGTATAGATAAGGTTAATTGCTCTTTCCCCTAGAGTGGAGGAGTTCATAACTAGGGGGGATATTTTTAATGCGAGAGGAGAACATTTTTAAAAGGACATGAGGGGCAACTTTTTCACGTAGAGAGTGTTTCATGTGAGGAATGAACTGCCAGAGGAAGTGGTGGATGCAGGTACAATTACAACATTTAAAAGACATTTGGATACGGACATGAATAGAAAAGGTTTGGAGGGATATGGGCCAAATGCAGGCAGGTGGGACTAGTTTAGTTTGGGAAACTTGGCTGGCGTGGCCTAGAGTCACAGAATCATAGAGTCATATAGCACAGAAACAAACCCTTTGGTCCAACCAGTCCATGCTGAATGTAATCTTAAACTAAACTCGTTGGACTGAAGGTTCTGTTTCCATGCTATATGATTCTATGAACTCTATTTAGGTAATTTTCACTAATAAACATGCAGACTTATTTAAAAACACCCTCGATCATATTGCTGCTACAGTTTAAAATGATCATTGTGTAAAACTGCAGTTTTTCAACCGGGGAAAAAGGGCGTCAGAACAGAATGCTCAAATATAATTAAACATTTCACTTCAATAGTAAATTAAAAATATGCACTAATGTCATTGCTAATGCAAATAAATCAAAGGAGTTTGTCTCTGAAGATACCACCAGACTATTGGAAATTTCAGTGGATGGCACATGATATTGTTGCTGACATGAACAAACATCTGATGGAACAGACCAAAGATATGTTGGGATTAATAAAATGGGAAGTACATGAAATGGGTAAGAGATAACAAAAGCCATTGACCAACCCCTTTCCCAAAATTGGTTCTGTAGTGATTGCAATGAGGTCAG